AGAGTATCAGCTGAGACTTGGAAAATACACATTTTTGAAGGGGAGAGAGACTGGCTTTATAGATGCAGAAATATACACATAAACCCACACCTAACCCCAGGTTTTCTGTCATGTTGCAGGCTGTGACATGGCTAGGCTTAGATCTGCACCACATGCATGTACGGGCCTCCCAGTCTAGGGTGGGGGGGTTCCCAGGACATAAGAGAAGACCTGGAGCACCCCATGAGGTCTGTTCAGGCAGTCAGCAGCCTACAGCAGATGCACACAGTCAACTGGAGGAGATAAAGGCAGGTTGGTTGGTGATGCCACAGCCACCCTTTCTGGTTCCACACAGATAGCTATCAAGTGGCAAAACACACACTCCCTATCCCGTTCTTCTCCTTTGTCTGCACGAAGCAACACAAAACCATATGCAGGCTTTCACTGTCAATATAAGCCATATTATTCTTATAATTCAATCCAGGTCCACAGCCTGAGAGCGCCTTTTCTTCCCTTTCCCCCTCTTTGCTCCCCTCACCACTTGCCTCTCTCTAACCTTGTTTAGGTTTACATGCTATGTCATTAAATTCCAGAACAGTAAACACTGCAGCCTCTCTAAGCACCCCCACACTGCTTTCTAGGTTGAAAATTAGACATGGGGTTAATTTCATTCCTGCAAGGACTCTGCCTTTTATTTTTCTTTACGTCCAACTCAAAGGATGCTTTTGGCAGATGCATAGTGGGGAAAAAAAAAATGTTTGCTCTCTGCTTCCACCCTACACTCCCCCCTTCTCCACTCCCACCCATCAGCCATAAAACAACACAGCCCAGCCAGATCCCAAACTGAAAGCAAGACAAAGCACCCACACAGCCCCCACTTCCATTCAGCAGAAATGGGCCGCTCTGGGGTAGCCCGGGATCCACAAGTAGGCCAGACAGAAATAAACAGAGTAAACAAAGAGTATCCTGTCCAAGCAGAGAGGAGCTAAAGAGAGTGATGTCTTTCATTAACATGCAAGGCAGGGATGCAAGCACACAGTCAAAGGCATCACTGGAGCTTGCTAGGCGTAATAGGAGGAAAGCAATACATGATCATGCTTTTACAAGAACCCAAAGCACACCACCCAACTGTACACTGGGCGCAATTGCATATCTCGCCTTCCAAGGACCACAGCAAGGCAGCCACCCACACGCCCACCACCACCCCAAAACATCCGAGAGGCCAGCCCTGAGCCTGCTGCAGCACAGCGTGGCTCTCCAGAAGGCTGGGTAGGGAGCAGCACACACAGGTACGGTACCAGACGACCAGGGCCGTGCAAATGTCAGAGCCTGTGACATTTAAAAACAGTGTAGCTGTCTCTTTAGGAAACAGATGGGAAAGAGAGAGAAAAGCACAGCACAGCCATAGCAACAGGTCAAGTGTTTGCTGCAGGTCTTGAGGAGAAAGGGTGATGCAGCGCGTGTGCCTTCTCCGTTTGCAGAGCATTTGTCACATAATGAAATCATTAGCCTGGGAACGGATAGGAAATCCTGGTTTAGTTTTTCTGCAACAAGCTGCTCTGAAATCCATACAGATCCGCGTGTGAAAGTCCATGGTGTGTATCTCCTTGTGTCTCCCCTTACACAGCTATCACAAACAACCCTCACGTTTTTCCAGACTTGTAGGAAAAATGCAGTAAATGGAGAGGTGGGGGAAGAGTCAGGACTTTGTAGCAAAACAGCAGCCTGCTGGCTGCAAGTCTGCTCAGTTATTGGAAAAAATTGAACATGCTGCTTTTTTTAAACAGCCTAATCATATTTGCTCTTACATCAGACTTGCCCACCACAAATTGTTCTCATGCAATGGAAGAATTTTTAATCTAATATCTTGGACTCAGATAATTTCCCAGCTGCAGAACTGCAATAATTTCCTATCTTCTCATTGTTGAGATAAGCCGACTAACTTGGATATGTTTTAGTTTCAGAGTGCGATTATCTCCCTTTATTTTACTTGAGAGAGAAGGGGTGACTTACAGGAAAATGTTTTTTTTGTTTTCCCCAAGCCAGCTCTTAAAGTCTGCTTCTCTGTGATGGAGATAGGTCTTTGCTGTTGCATTTCCCTTAGCCCCTTAACTTTCCACACTTCCTCTCCCTCTCTCAGAACTCTACTAAGAGCAACTCTTATTTTACTCAAAGAAAATATACTGTTCAAGAAATCCCTAAAATAATTCCTTCAAAAAAAAGTCTCATTGGCAAAACATTTGCTTGTGTAAAATACCTTTGAAAGTTTATTAAATACCCCACAACCCAGTACTATCAGTCAAATCCTGCTTGCTTTGTTCATTTGTTTTCAGGCATATTTACAGAAGAAGAATTGTAAGGAAAAAAAAAAAAAAGATTATAAGGCCTGAAGCTCTGTTCACATGTACAGTGGAGCAAAACAGGAAACTCCATTTATTTCAGTAGAAGTGATTTACACCCAAGTAAGGGAGAAGACAAGCAGATCCTTGAATTTATGCCATTACAAATTCAAAAATACTGCTTACTCCCACAGTTTTCTTGGGAGCTTTTGATATTTAATGTTTTTTTCTTAAATTCCCAGGTCCTAGATTTACTCTGTTATGTCAAAGGAACACCCTCTCCTCTTTAATTTTTTTTTTTTTTAGAGTTTCTAGCAATCATTTTCTATGGGAAAAGCCAGAAACCATGAGATGAGGACACTTTTTGGACTGCAAGGCTAGATATGTTGCAGTCTTTCTCTTTTAGATCTCAATGGTGTTCACGGCTTTTCAACCTATGTTACTTTCCAGACACAAATTCAACACTGGAAGTATATGAATTACACATATGCAGATTCCCATACAGCACATATCAATTCATTCCTCTTAGTCAACATTCATTAATTCCTTTGAAATAAATGTTCATGGGTTGGAAAGCACCAGTCTGACGATTTAGTGGGAGTGTGGCTCATGTATTTTCCCTGCACAACATTAGCAATACTAAGAAAGAGCTGGCCTATTTAAAAGGGAGATTCTCTAAAAAGCTAGTTCAGTGGAAAGACATGGTTGCATAAACAAGGAAGTGCAAGAACTTAACATTATAGATGTAGACAAAAAAAAAAAAAAAGGAATAAACCTTTTACTACTTCATATTAAAAAAAAAAATAAAATAAATCCAGCCCTAACAAGCCACTGCTTATGCATAGTTGTGCCCCTTGCAGCTAAGCCCCTAAAATCACCCCTGTTCCCAGGATGGTGATAGGCAACCTCTGATTCCCCCCTGCTGGGAAAGTGGATGATGTCCTCTACTGACTGCAGTGAGAGCACTTCTGTCCCTGAAAATGCTCTCATAGAGAACAGCCTGCAGTATAAAAGCAGTGCTCCCATTACTGGCGCGTTGCTATGGGCACTATTCTAAGAAAGCAGACACAGGAGCAGATCCAGAAAAAATGGCAAAATATATGAGGGAAGAAAGAAAAATTGCAAAGAGTCTGGGCTCATCCCTGCCTGTTCCTACTGGCAGTGATAGGATGGTAGGGAAGATGGATGGTGAAATGTCACAGTGTTGGACACACAGCCTGGCAGTGTTTGTGGCTTTGCATCACTCGACTGTTTCAAAACCCTATCTGGAATTGTTATTTCTTGGTACCCCAAGATATAATTTCTCAGCTACCTTTATTTTATTTTTCTTCCTAAAAGTTAGTAAAATCAAGTTTGTCTTTTTTTTCATTAGCCTGCTTTAAGTTAATTTAATGAATGCTATTCTTGTAATGAAATTTGCCTAACAGATCATATGATCATTTTGGATCACAGTTCCCAAAAACTTTCCACCTGTACACTGGTACAGGGTAACCCTATCTACAATTTATCAAAATAATTTCAACTCTAGGCACCTTTATCTACTTCAGGTGTTAGCAGGTGACTAATGATACCTGGATTTTACCACCAAGGAGCTACAGAATGAGTAGCTTTATGCCATCCATCTGAATTGAAATCAGAAGAGTGAAGGTGAACTGGTCTGTATTCCCCACCACCAGCAACCCTTGTAAGTTAAAGTCACCCTGCCAATTCCAGTTCAAATTAATCTAGAGTGGATTAAGTCTACCTTTTATGCTATTTTCTAAATGAAATCAGATGTACATGCAAAAGCGGTATTTAAAAGGGTTTTATCTAATAATGAGTCAGATATTGACAGAACAATCACCATGAAGACCAAGGTAAGAAGCAATATATTCCCATTAATAATTCAAATCTCAGCATGGATATTGATGACCATGCACTTAAAAGAGAAAACTGGGCAGCAGCTGGAATTGGCCCAGATTTCCTGAAAAGTAGTTGGACTGCTACAGAGATACACTAGAGAGATTTTACTGTAAGATCCAACCAGAGAAATGGCAGCTCTTCATTATTAAGATATGTTGGATTCTCAGCAATGTTACTGAAGTTGAGCAAGGAATAAAATGTAGCATTAGCAGGCTAATGAAAGAAGATGGGCAAGAAGAACAAGGGAACAAAATCTGGAGGCAGAATCCCAGTACATTCCCTTCTCCCAGTCCCAGTATTTGGGGCACAGAGAAACAGCATTCTGCAGTATCTATTTCAAGTTACTGCTTAGGAGAAAGCAACATCAAAAGCTTTAAAATAAATGTATACAATCAGGAAAAGCAGAAACAAACAGAAAGGTCGTAGGAGCCAAAACAACTCAGAACAAACCAGTTAGGGCTAGTTAACATAATCTGCTCTATTCACATAACTTAGTTTGTTTCACTGAGGGCATGAACTTTCTTGGAAAAGCTCAAGTAATCAACTGCAGGAGCTTATACATTTTCTTTCCCTCAAGTTTACTTTACCCTGAAATTAAAGCTGCTTGCACACAACTGCTTCTATCAATTCATTCAAAAAGCTGACTTTTGCTCGTCCTTTCCAGAGGGAAATGCTGGAAGAGATGGTACCACTGAAGTGTAGGATTCCCTTCAATTCCTCCTACTGCCTTGTCCACTTTTCCCATCGCTTTGGATTGACACAAAGAAAAACATACTCTACCTCACTGAAAAAGAGCAGGTTTCCAATGAAAGGAAGAGGTGGAGGATGTCGGATCCCTACTCTGCTGAGTCTGGAAAATGCAGATGTGGAGTACCTGGAAAAAAAACCAAAACACAAGGTAGTAAGTTAATTTTTGATCTTTTCATGATAGGACTTACCACAGTAACGAGTTTAGATGACTTCCCTAGATTTAGGAGGAGAAGAGGCTTTCTATACTGGCTAAACAGAACTGTCAATGAGATTGCTCAGCAGCTCCTCAGGTCACAGAAATAAATGCGATACACTGGTGCTTCAGAGAGGGCAAAGGAATCAAGGGTCTCAAACACGGGCCTGCAAATTGAGCAGTGGAATTAAGAGAACTGCTCCTCTTCCCACAGAAGGTCTTGTAAGTTAGAAGTGACTCTCCAAACCCATATGAGGTTACAAACGAGATCAAAAGAAGGATTTGGGGGTTGACTTTTGTGGCACAGCTGGGAAAGGAACAAGACAGATTTTCAGACTATTATTTTCTTCTTCAATCACCTCTACGTATACAGATCACAGAACAAGAATTCAAACTAGTCTCTGTTGTCCATGAGCCAAGACAGTGTCAGTACATTCAAGTCAAGCCTAGTATTTGGGCCAGATATGCTGATTAAGTGATTTTTAGAGCTGCCAGTCAGCAAATTAAACAAATATAAAAAATACAGGGAAACAAAAACCAGACTGAAAAGCTTCATGCATCCCTTGTTTCAGATGAAACTGTGGCACATTGACAGGGACAATACTGGAAAAAAAGGGGGAAAAAAAAAACCAACCCCAGGGCCTTTTCTCTCCCCTCCCCTCCCCCTTTCTTAATACAAACAATGGATTTAAGTCAATGGACTTCAATTAGTGAAACCTGAAAGAGCAGGAGCTAACAGCAGCAGCTCTGATTACCAAAAGGCACAATAACACTGAATACTATCATGCTGAATACCATCACTGAGAGGACCTGGGCAAAAGATCTTTAAGATTAATAAAGCCTATGTCTATACTAACACCTTATATCAGAGCAATGGTATAGTTTTAAAGCTCTCCCTCCACATGATGGTTCTGTGCCCAGGGCAGTTTTGTCACATGAAACCACGTTTTTGTGAGAGGAAACTGAACTCAAAGCTCTGTTCCAATCTTTCACCTTTTATCAGGGCAGTAATAAGCAGTTATTCAGCTTGAATCCCAAGTGCAATGAGACTGCTTAGACCTGGCAAGCAAATTAAATCTAAGGTAAAATAAAAACTGTGAACTGCATAAAGTGTGGGTGTGCAACACCAACTGCTTTAGTCTACGGAGTCCACAGGCCATCTTAATGACGTCAGAGAGACACAGAAGAAGCAGTGCCCTCAGATCCCAGTGGGCTGGTTCCCTCTTAATCCCAATGTACAGCCTTGGTGACTCTGTAGATTATGCTAATGCATTGCTATGACTTGGACATCTCCTTCAGATCCAGCAATCAACATATGCCTCATTTGAAATGACCTTATGTGATGCAGGCAGGTTTAACCTAATGGGCAAACAGCACACACAGTTCTTGGGGTTCAGTGAGGAGGTAGGAGAGAAAAGAACTGGTGTTAGAAAATGGTCCTGTCCTCCAGCAAGAGGGAAAGGCAAGAACTGTGCTATGAAGACAAATATATAAAGAGAATTAGATCTCACATGATCAGCAAAGCAAAAGGGGACTTAATTATTGAGTTAGTAGCTTTTGGTACTTCCACTTTCAGAGATTTGCTGGAGCACAGTACGTATTCTCTTCACGGGTTTTCTTTTGTAAAGATGTTTTACAAAAATCATAATCAGAAGATAGGGATTTGATAATTTTTAAATAGAATTTTTTTTTTTAATGGAGGAGCACAAACCTTCACAAACACAAACCCTCTCAATAGAAATGGTGCGTCTTCAGTCTCTGCAAGGACATTATTTCAAGTATGACAGGGTATCGTGGAGTAAAGGCACAGAAGTCAGCATTTATTACACGTTTTATACATATTATTGACTTCTTGGCTACTTAACTGCTTTAAAAAATATGAGGTTTTCCTCAGCTAATACTCTTGAGAAAAGAAATGTTTTAACTTTAAAATGACAAAACAGCCTACATGATACATCTTCTTCCCCAAAGACAGGATTTCTTTTTTTTTTTTTTTCTGCTCTTTGAAATCTTCCTAAAGTGTCTTTGTGTCATAGCAAAGTCCTCATCTTCAGTATGTAAACAGTGGAAAAGATGAAAATCCCTGTCAGTGGAAACATGTCAATTTTGCAGCATTCTGTCCTGATGTTTTCACTGTAAAATGCATGGCAGATCACAAGACACCACACTGGGCTGCTGTTAACTGCTCATTTCACTAAAGACCAGGCCCATTGTAGATCCCTGGTTTTCATGTACAGCAAAGGGAAGAGTGACTGCAACAGAGGCTTACACTAGGCAAAGTAAACTATGTGATCACCAAATATTTAAAAAGGAACAGAACTAATGAGTACAGTGTGCCCAGTTTCACAAGGCAAGAAACACACAGACTGTGAAGGCTATTTATGCTTAGATGAGCAGTTCATCATTGTCAGCTTCTGAACATTACTGGCAGCTCCACATAGCTGAGAATTTGCTTTCCTTTTCCCCCTCCTAACATGGTTTTCTCTGTTGCTTTTTATTCAGTTGCATTTGAAGTAGGTTTTTGAAAGGTAAGGAACCACAGTTTACAATGAGGTGGGAGAAATAAGCCCCGTAGTCAAGCTACACACTGAAATATAACAACGAAAGGGTGAGCCCAGCTGAAGGGGAGAAAAAAACCAAAACAAACCCAACAAAAAAGAATCTCACCAATAAACACATCCAGCTCTAGCCTATGATTTCACAATATTTCTGATATTGTTGAAATACCTGCAGTTTTACAGAAAAGAGTATGAAAGTGACCAAAGACTGATGGGGCTCCATGCACCAAAGGAGGAGGATCTAACACTGCACAGGTAACCTTGACTTTGATAATTTCTAGTGGAACAGCTTACATTCTGCAACCTTAAATATTTAGAGCTTCCCCCCATCTCTGCAATATTTCAGCTCACTCCCACTGTTTGGGTGGGGAGAGAGAGGAAGGAGTGGCTTGTGAGCTTTTTTTTAAAAAAAAATTGTCCTGTATAACACACGGTGAACACCAGCCATACATGAATCTGACAGCTTTTGTGGCACAACCCTTTGCCTTTTCAGCAGAAGAGATGGATAACTCGAACCAGTTGATTTATGTGATTCAGTTACTCAGCACCCCCATGACACACACTTACCCAGTAACTCAGTGCACTGGCCAAACAGCATCCAGGGTTTGTTGCTGGGAAGGGTAGGTGGGCTAGAAGCTGGACAAGTGCAAACAGGACAGAGTTGCCTTGTAGGCAAAGACATTTGTCTGGACATCTAAATGAAACAGTTCCAAGCCTGCCTTATCACCAGCAGAAAGTCTTATTTCTCACTCTGCCGCTTAACACACTTCTGCATTATTTTATCACAAAAATTAATCTGGTATCAGGCGACCTCCTGCTGTTGCTGTGGGCACACACTAAGCATAGAAGATCAGCCAATAGACTATAAAGGCTAAATCAAATGCAAAATCCAGTAATAGAAGACATATTGAGAGGTGACCAAGATGACCAAAGATATGGAACAACTTCTGTACAAGGAATAAGTAAATAGGCTACAATCTTATCATGGAAAAAAGAAGCAACTGATGCAGGCTATGACAAATATATTTAAGATCCTGCACAGTTTAGAAAATAAATTAAGAATTATTACCCACTGATTAAAAAATTAATAAAATCCAGAAATTAATTTTCAGGTGGTAGGACTAAAAATTAAGCGTTTTCCCAAGAAATAAATATTCTAACTATCAAACTCCTTGACAGGGAATGTTGTCTACAAAAGAACTTTAAAAAGCTTCAAAAGGTGAATAAATAAATTAATGAAGGGGGGGGGGAATCAGCAGGCACTTTTAGCTAGTAAGTTTAACAAATGTAAGAGAAACACATGGAAAAGATTAAAGGAAAGGAGGGAAAATTAATGAAATTTATTTTCCTAATCAGGGAACTAGTCTGTAAGCTTCTACTGGCAGAATAAGAGATTAGACTGTTATAAAACCTAACAGATAAAACCTCAGACACTTCAGCTTTCTTAAGAGGAAGAGAGGAAGGAGTCTTTATGTAAAATGAGAGGCATGAAAAAGATAACACTCTGATGGCAGCAATATTTACTGGACAATCTGGCACGCTCTCACTCAAAGGAGAAACATACCCTAATATTTACACACGTAGGGCTTCCTGCACAACTATTAATTTAAAAGCTTGGCATTATATTTTGAACAAAGTGACAAGACATCAAAAGGAACCAGAGGAACAGCAGTAATGAAGTAGATCGATAAACAATTCAATAACCCTTTGAAGATGTTCAGATGGCCTCTCAGAGCTGGATGCTCTCTGTATATATTAAACACAACTGTTAAAAGAAAGTTAACATGCCAAATACATTCCTGTACGCCAGCATGGCAGATATAAGTTCTCTGAAATACTAACTTCTCTCCACAAAACACCATGCAAAAAAATAAAGAGAAACTGATAATTAATATAAGTAGGTTGTGATGGATACATAATCAACAGAACTAGCCATCTGCCCAGCCAGGTCAGTAACGATCAGTACTGCAAGGAAAAGTATTACACAGTCTGCCATCAATTTGTGTAGCAGATAACATTACAGAGCTTCCAATTCTACATCATAGAGTTCAACATACTACTGAAATTACCCCAAATTTCTCTAGAAAAAGTGTGTCATTCCTTCTACATGTAAGCAATGAACAACCTAATAATATCTGAAAACTATAAACTAGGACGCTGAGGCAAAAAAGTGATGTTTTTTAATCTCAGGGTTGGGAGGTGCATTATTTTGCGAGGTTGAGTGGGAAAACAAAGTATTTTGCTGAGATAATGGAAATCTTTCCTGCAAACAAGGAATAATCACCATTCATTTTTACCTCTTAGCCTCTGTTTATATATACCCATACCAGATTCCAATTAACACTGGGATGTATTTTGCTCACAAAATAGTGA